ACTTGGCCTCACACTGCCCACTGATTACTTGACTAAATAGCAACTCATTTCAGCCTCGAGTTGTTTCTAAATAGTTACACAAGACATACATACCCCAATATCACTTTGACAGGTGGTCTTAGTAGATAACTAGTCAGTCTTATAGAGAATGGGCACACCTTGATTCATATGTCTGCTGTGTTTGATACCAGGGGGGTAATGTTGCTAAACTTTGTGATGCTTGGTGGTTTCTGCTCTTAATCCTCATTCTTGGTTGTATTTCCCTTTCGCAGTGCTATAGTGCAGCTGACGGAACCTGTTTGGGGGGAACTTAGTCAACGAGCTCGAAGCCTGGAGCCTCAGTGGCCGTACCCTTTTCATGTCAGAGACAAGGTACTCTTGCAGTCGTTTATGTCATCCCCTCCCCTCCAAACAGAAGATACTAATAATTGCCAATTCAAGATCTTCTCGTCTTGCTGATAAACCGTACGGGAAGCCAAAATGTCCATCAATGTCAACCGCAGCGTGTCGGACCAGTTCTACCGCTATAAAATGCCCCGTATCATTGCAAAGGTGGGTGTTAAAGGATGCATTTTATTTATAATGTGTGTGTCCTGAATCTATCCTGAACTCTTTCTATTTGTCACAGGTGGAAGGCAAGGGGAATGGAATTAAAACAGTCATAGTCAACATGGTTGATGTTGCCAAAGCTCTGAATAGGCCTCCGACATGTAAGCATTGCTGTTTCACTTAAATTTTTATACAGTAGTTTTTTCATATAACATTAAACTGTAACCTCTGTTTAGATCCCACCAAATTCTTTGGTTGTGAGTTGGGAGCCCAAACCCAGTTCGATTCCAAGAATGACCGCTACATCGTCAATGGATCTCATGAGGCAAACAAACTGCAAGACATGCTAGATGGATTCATTCGCAAGTTTGTGCTGTGTCCTGAATGCGACAATCCTGAAACTGATTTGGTAAATACGTTCTCCGTTTTGCCATGTACATGTAGATGAGTCATGGTCAGTGAGACTATTGATGAACAGGTGTGTTCTAGAGAAAAATTTGTGTGCCCTTGATTCCCAATTGAACTTGCTGCCCTTTATGTTTGTATGCATGTTGCTGAGTATGTAGGGTCAATGGGGTCACACACATCTAGCTTCTATGTGTTGAGATTGTTTTGCAGGTGTACAGAGGAAAGTAGCTGTGTCATTAGCTGTATACAAGCCACCTTCAGTCTCTCATTGTTACATTATTCAGTCAATTGTTTTCAGTTGCCTTAACTTACCAGCTAGGGTTAGGTTATATGGCAAAAAAAATACTGATTCACAATTGAATTTAATTAGTCAACTTAAGTATGTAACCAATATATAATTCAAGTATATAGTTATATTCCAAGTGTGCCACACCTGAAGTGATCAACATAATGTAAATGTAAAACAATCGGAGTGGTTAATCAGATGCTTGATCGGTATTGGATCATTTTCCAACATTTCTCCTCTGCTAAAGAAAGAAACATAAGACTTGAGTAAATGATGACAAGTTTGATTTTTAGATTAACTATTCAGTTAAGTGCAAAATACTTCTACTTTCCTCTACTGATTTTCCTCTGCAGTGCAGTACTATTTAAATCCTGAGATTTTGCATAGTCTCAGCTGGCCTGGTTTCTGTTTCATGCGGCAATCTGCCTTATAAACTCCCTGTAAGGTCATAAGACACAACACAGGATAAATCCCTATATTTATTTACACACCTGTATACAGGGAAAGCCTACATTTGCATAGCAATCTTTGCAGGTTTCAAGCGCAGGAAGCTTTGTTTAGAAGTTCTGAGTAATTTGCCCCAGAGATTTCTCGCTGGATTGATTCATTGTTGTACAGATTGTTTATTACTGCACTTTAAAGTTGCTTCAAATGTTCTTGTCATTGTAGCACATTAATCCCAAGAAGCAGACCATTGGAAACTCCTGCAAGGCTTGTGGGTACAGAGGCATGCTGGACACTAGACACAAGCTCTGCACCTTCATTCTCAAGAATCCACCTGGTAAATACAGACTATAAAGAGACAGTGAATTGAGGTTTTGAATCCCCAGTGGTGTCATTTTCTTACTTCCATAAACATTTAATTTTCACATGAAACCAAAGAAAGGCCTTTCAGTTTGAGTATTTGGGTTAACCTGGTCAGAAAATTCAAACCCGTTGCATGTTGATTTGATGTACATGAACTGAACTCTGTTTCCTCTCTCTGGTCTTGTTGTGGCAGAGAATGACAGTGGATCTGTGAAAAAAGAGAAGGAAAAGAAAAATCGAAAGAAAGACAAAGAGAATGGCTCAAGTGGTGGAGAGGCTGGTAACCATAATGACATAGATGCCCCTGATGCTGTGGTAAATGCTACTTTGAGAAACCCCTTTCAGCCTAACCAGTGGAGGAAATGAGAGATGCTGGTGTTGAATGTATTTTTGATCATGGCAGGATGGGGATGATGATGATGAAGACTGGGCTGAGGAGACCACAGAGGAGGCCCAGCGCCGCAGGATGGAGGAGATCAGCGAGCACGCCAAGGGTCTCACGCTCACAGAAGACTTGGAAAAATCCCTGGAGGAGAGAGTCAACATATTTTACAACTTTGTAAAGGTGTTTGTCTTAAGATTTTATTGACAAATTTGAAAGAAAGATACTTTTCATATATAGACGCTCTCTTATTCAGCTCCAATCGTTTTGCTTCTGCTCTTCAGGAAAAGAAGGAGAGTGGAGCAATTGACACTTCAGATAAAGAGGTATTGGCTGAGGCTGAAAGGCTTGATGTAAAGGCCATGGGTCCTCTGATTCTGAGCGAGCTGCTCTTTGATGAGAACATCCGTGACCAGATCAAGAAGTACACGCGTCACTTCCTCAGGGTACGTCTTGACATATGTTGGCATTTTTAACATCTTTGACTATCTAATAAACATCACTTTTCACAGACCATGCTGACTTTGGAAAATCCTGGTTGTTGTAATTAAATACAGAGTGATTTTTATTCTCAAATGCTATTAGTTGCACATCATCAAGTCTTTCCATATTTCATTTGTTAAAATGCATTATTGCTGCTTTTGCAAATAACAGTCATGCTGACTTTTTGATTAACTATAGTAAATGTAAGTAGTTTACATTTCTGCCCACAGTTCTGCCACAACAATAAGAAAGCTCAGAAGTATCTGCTGGGTGGGTTTGAGTGCCTTGTGAAGCTGCATCAGACTCAGCTCTTACCCAGAGTCGCCGTTATACTCAAAGACCTGTATGACGCAGACCTGCTGGAGGAAGATGTCATACTTGCATGGGCTGAAAAGGTAACCTGCCATCAAAACACTTGACATTCTAGAATCTGTCATGATCAGATGCCAAACATCAATCTCAGTTGTTTACATGCATGAAACCAAGTGGAAATGTAGCCGTCGTCTTGAAGGATCTGTCGTTTTAGCCTGAATGTCTGAGGGGGTTGTTATGGTAATGACGGTGACCTGCATGCTTGATGTCAGCAATCATACTTGACTAGTCCAATGTTTAAGGGTGTTCTGATTCAGCTTTTTGGAGCCAATTGTTGATCCAAAAAAATAATTCTTCTCACCTAAATTCTTTAAAATTAGTTGGTTGTTCATTCAAGAGCAGTGAGTGTCATTAATGTTAAACAACAAAAGACAAAATCAGAGATGGCTGCAAGATTGTCAGGCTGCTGTCACTTTAAGACCGAATGCACGGATCCAATATACTGATACACATGCATTTTCTTTCTGAACTGTTTACATTCACTTACCCAACCCTACCTATCAGTATTCATGAGTTTAAACCTGTTTGTGATGTTTTGTTGTAGGTGTCTAAGAAGTATGTCTCTAAAGAGTTGGCTAAAGAGATTCATGCCAAGGCAGAGCCCTTCGTTAAATGGCTCAAAGAGGCAGAGGAGGAGAGTGGGGGCAGTGAGGAAGAGGAAGATGATGATGAGGACAATGTTGAGGTAAAAATAAGCCACATTATTACACAAACTTTTCTACAAAATGCTTGTTGGTTACTCAATTTAACATTGTTGGATAGCACAGAATTTGCTCAAATTTCCCTTTTCCCTAGGTGGTGTATTCCTCCTCTGCCCGTGAGCTGAAAATGGAGACTAAAAAACCTGAGAAGTCAGAACATGAGGAGGAGGACATTGATATTGATGCCATTTAAAGAAATAACCAAAAAGCTTAATTTGCCTCTTCCATATTGCTCAGCTTCTTTTTGTCAGACGCATGCCTTCTCACCTCCTCTGGCCTTTTCTTCAGCTCCAGGCCTAGGATAGCGAACTGCTGAAAGCCTCTTATTTTAGTCTTCTCACCAGCTCTATCGATGAATTGTTGCTTTTGTTTGTATGCATGAGTTTCTTAGATTCTAGAGCATAAAATGCACTCGAGTTTCCCTTGTATTTTTGCAACTATTAAAGATTTGCCTGTGAATTCCACCCTGTATCTAATTGTTTTTGACACTTAATATTCATGTTTTTATATTCATAATTATAGATCCCATTCAAAAGTTTAGATTTTAAGTCACAAAAAAATACTTATGCTGCAAGGACATTTAAGTTGATCAAAAGTAACAGTAAAATAAAGGCTGTTCTTTTGAACTTTCTATTTGTTTTCACAAAAAATAAATGTTGATTGAGCGTCAAATTGCCGCATTGGTGATTCTGAAGGATCATGAGATGCTTAAGAGTGGAGTGATGCTGAAAATTCAGCTTAGTCATCACTGAAATAAATTTTAATATTTAAAATTGTGTTTTTGATCAAATACAATCTTTGTGAGCAACATAACACTATGTATGTGTATATATAAAACATGAATATAAATAAGCTGCTGGTGTAGATTAAAAACAGGTCATTGTATAACATTAAAAAACACATTTGAGCCATCACTGTTGCACACTGCTCTTTCACAATGTCCTGGTAGCCTGCGAAAGGTTATAAAGATATATCACTGTGGGTGAAATGAGTTGAGACTGCTAATAAGAACTCAGGAGTTTCCAAATTAGGCATTTATTTAACTTTAATGTCGTACATTTAAAGTCATGTTTTAGTTATGGGACTTTTAACGGGTCCAAATCAAGTCAGACATTAGGCCATAAAAGACATCATAGTAAATCCAGTAAATCATAGAAATGCGCAACACAAACTCCATATAGAAAGTCATAAATTCCTCCTTAACAACAGAAACAATCCTAACATTCTGCAAGCAGCTAACTACAACTATTTCAGCAACATCCATTTCAAAGAGCATAAATACTTAATTTCCCTTTAGTCTTTACACCAGTAGAAGACAATCACAGTGTTTTGCCCCACACAGGGCTTTCTGTTAAATGCTATTTTCAAAAAGTACAAAATACATTAATGCAGGAACTATACAATTACTATGTCAATCAAAAGGATTTTGGCACCGAAACTCCTACTCCTTTTTATATAAATTTTGGATGGTATTACATTGTGCAAAACGCAGATAAGCTTAAAACTTCCCACTAGTCTAATATTTCATCTCTCTATCCTGATTAGCTTACATGTATCTTAGTGCAACACGGAGGTAGACAACTACCGGCTTCTTTTCATTAACACATTAACATTAATCTGCCAAATTAAACAACTGCATTTAACAAACAAATTAACAAACAAAATTACAATGGGTAAGAGTAAACAAATTCAAAAAGCAACTGCTACTCATGTCCCTTAATTTTTTCCATCCATAACATTCAGTTAAAGGAATATTCCATGGTCAATACAAGTTAAACGCAAACAACAGCGTTTGTGGCATTATGTTGATTAACAAAAAAATGCTGAAATTGTGTATGAATAAAGTTGAAAATTGAAACTGAACTGCCGAAACGAGTTGTCAGCATTTTTAATAGGTTTGTAACATATTTGCACAATGGAACTTACTTCCATTCCAAGTTCTCTATTTTATTATTATTATTTTTTTATTAAAGCAAAGGAGGAATAAGTTGAAAGTAATTTCTGTAATAATCAACATTATGCCACAAATGCTACCCATGCTGAACCCGGAATATACATTTAATGCAAATTCAGGAGAATAGGGCAAATCTCTTATTAAATAAATATCAGCTTCAAATTGAAAGGAAAAGCATGGGGATGCTAGCCATCTTTCTTCATATACTAGATTTTAGATGACAAGATTAAAGGTCTCACTGACAGCTTCACCAGAAGAGGGCACTATTGGCTCGGTCAGCTATGATTTTTTATCATTTTTGTCACCACTGTAGCATCGTTCCCCATATTGCTTTTGGTATATTTGGCTTTGGCATGGTACCGTGGATATTGATCGCTTTTGATTTTCGAGCGACCATGCGGACTGCTTAAAAAGTGTTATCAGAATTATTTTAGACTGAAATGAGATCCGTGGCACTGGATGAAAAATTCAGTGCTGCATACTTTAAGAAGCTCACATGAGAAAAGTGCAGGTTTGAGCCTACAGTAAGGGTTGTGTTATCTCACTATTGGACAGATGCAGTGGCGGTAGCTGCCTTTTTGTCACCTGCTGCACAAAGATAAAGAGAAACCCGATTACGAGTAAGGTGCCGAAGATGGATCCCACGGCCCAGGCGTAGGAAGTCTCTCTAGGCTTGGGCGGCACCACTGGTGGTTTTGGGGTTGAAGTCTCCACTAAGAGATCCTGCACGCTTGACAAAGAGCCATTGTTGGGCAAGGGCTTGAGACCAAGAATGCAGCACATGAGAGGATAGAGGTCGACCGAGCTCATGGAGGCCTTGGTGTAGTCACGGCGGAAAGCGGGTCCGCGGGCGACAAACACGGGTTGCATGCTGGGAAGGCTGTTGTTGTAACCATGGTTTCCCACTGTAAATCAAACACATGGTCATTAAATAACTGCAAAGGTGTCTCAGGTATTGATAAGCAAGCACAACGACGACATGAACGTGTTATCGTATGTGTTCGTTGTGCTTTAATTATGTGGAAATAACAATACGCACACATGAGAGATCCATTTCTGTTCTGCATGACCGTCCATCCCTCTTTGACCTCTATGATCAGAGGCATGATCCTGGCATTGTGTCTGTAGTGGTAATGATCTGGAATCTCCTCCTTTTTATACACGGCCATGTTCGGGTTGGCGTTCTTCAACGAGCTGTAGACCTCTTCAAGTTTGCCTGGGTTAAGAGGAGGATAACACTCAAACACTTGTTCACACAGAATATGAGTGTTTAACCTGTGCGCTCGCGTCTTTTGCCGCATCTTGTGCATGCTTTTCTGAAAATGTGGTGCTAAAGTTTGATGCGTTTCCAGACCTTGCATTTCTTTTCACTCCACTGACCCCCGTCTCGCATTTTTAACAGCAAAAACACGTTTTGTGTGAATGCGGCATCAATTATAACAACATATTTAATTGATTATTGGGTGTTTCTTAGACTACAGGCACTTTTGACTTAAAACACTTTTCACACACTCTTTAATTGTCATGTTTCTGAAAGTCATGAAATTTTCAACCACATCTCAAATGAAGTGTTGTGTTTAACCGCATTCTTTGGTGAAAATGATGGTGATGGAAAGTAACGTTTTTGAAATATAATAACCATCTCTTTTGTCTTGCCACGGTTAATTTCATAGTTAGGTTTTTATTAATATTTGCATTTTTGCCTCGCCTGAAGTTCATTCTTGGAAATTGTAAAAAAATGTTTTGCTCACAAATTGTATCCTGCTGTGGGCAAAAATGAACAGTGGAAAGTTTCAAACAATAAAAAGTGAAATTATTTGTTTTTTACTTTTTATTCAGATCTGAGATTTCCAAACTTTTTTTGTCAGTGTAATCGCATTGACATAATATATTATATTTACTTGAAACACATTTTCCTGTTCTCTGATGTGCTCACAAAACATGTAGGTAGACAAATAATATAATTTTATAATATAATCTTTTTTTTAGTGTTTTATTTTGATTATTTTTATTTTAAATGATCTATTTATTTTTCATTTACATTTATTATCATTTAATTAATTATTAGCTTTTATCGACTCACAAACACGCTGTGTTTGAATTTCCTTCTCAAACCCGTTTGAGAAATCCTGGTTTTAATAATTTATATTTTTATAGTGGATTTTCATAGAAGAGGTTAAAACAATAAAATCTATAAATAAAAGGTTTTTTGAAAAGTAGCAAAAATACATTATGAAGGCATGGTACAAACTGAAAAAGCTACACAACAAACCCTGCATTCCCACACAACAAACAATAACAAATGCTTTATTTTCATTCTTACCTTCTTTTGGCAAAATTCCAACTACAGGACTCTTGTCTATCCATGTGTAAAGATCTCGGCTGACGTAGGTGTCCAGCTCAATAATCTTCTCATGTGATAACTGAGTCATTCCATGATCACTTGTAACAATGAGATTGACCTTCTCATAAAGGTCAGCAGCTTTGAGCTTGTCCCTGAGGAATCCCAACTTATCATCGATGTCTGCTATGACCGCATCCATTTGTGAGCTCTCCGGCCCCAAGTTATGCCCGCTCTCGTCTGGCTCCTCCCAATATAAGACACCAAAATTGATGGCCTTCGGCCCTGAGAACCAATCAATGAGTTTCTCGACTCTGGTCTCAAAGGGCATTGACGCGTTGTAACTCAAGTAATGTGTTGGGTACGTTCCACCAATTGCTACATCTGATCCAGGCCACATGGCAGCTCCGCTCTTCCAGCCAGCCTTCTGATTGGTCACCCACAACGGCACGGCCTCCTCCCACCACCATGCATCGTACACTGAAGGTCCCTCCATGGAAAACGACTTGTTGTGAATGGGGTCGTACATTTCGTTAGCAATGATGCCATGGGTTTCGGCGTGTAATCCTGTCACTAAGGTGTAGTGGTTCGGGTAGGTCTTGGTGATGTAGGTGTTCTCCACTTTCTCCACCTGCACACCCTCATCCATCAGGGCACGAAAATTGGGCGTGGGTACTCGATTCACATAGTCCCAGCGAAAGCCATCAAAGGACACCAGTAGCAGCTGGCTTTGCTCTACTTGCTGGGAGCTTGATGTCTGTAGCAGTATTAATACGCAACTGAGGAAGCAACTCTGGTATGGCATGATGCAAGTGTTTCTATGAAAGGGAGACCTAGAAAAAAAATTCATTGTATAGACATGAATGGGGAAGGAAAGAAAGTTTGAACCATTAACAAAATTCATATGATCACATTTATCATTCTGATTAAAGTCAATATTCTGGGCTTTGTCAGTTATTCCTATTGCATACATATAAGCATATTGCTAATAAGACATGTGCATTCATTTCTGGAAATAATCAAGATGCTCTTGCCATTTATTATGCTAAAAGAATAATATAGAATAACAGCAAAATCAGTTTAAATAATCACAATGATGTCATTAACAATAACTTACAAGAGCCAAATATTTTAAAACATGTTGGCCATAAAATTTCAATGTTTATAAAATATAAGTATAAAAAAATTCAAAAATATTCTCGAAAAAATATCTTGACTTTTCAGAAATGTCAGTATCTTATATCACCCAGAAGTATCTTTGTTTGGACATGCACATATAATTAATGCTGAGTTATTATGGTGGATATTCTGAACGAGATGTTTACATATTTGTCTTTATTTCTAGAAACCAGAATATTGATTTAATCGTAATCTGATTGTGGCAATAAAAACGTCAACACATAAAAATAATGCTAATAATGTCAACAATTTCTGATATAGCTACACATAGCTACACATATAGCTGTAAAATATATATTTTTTGATTTCCATTATCTTATAACCACTGAACAACTGACACATTGTTGAAATAAAAAAAAAAAACCTCTTTAGATGGCTGTCTTCAAAACAATCGGTCGCGCTGTCACGAATGGCACTGCATGTATGTTATGAATATGAATGTCATATTCGGTCATGAAAGAGCAGCCTACTTTTTAGAGCGCCTGCTCAGTTAACAGGTGCATTTCTCTTATACATAATGTAACAACTAAATGGAAACATTTCGGTATATAAACGCTCTCAGGTCGAAACGGGTGTCAAATATAGCCTACCGATATAATTCAATTGTATAGTGCGTCACTAGAAATGGAACATCATGACATCACACACAATGCAGCGCATTTCAGCCGCCTATAATAACGCTCGCTCGGTTCACTCTTGTCCTTTAAAAAGATTTACAAAACAATCCTTGTTGAGTTCTTTCACATCAACCTCAACTGACCAGTGTGCCTCTCCATTAAACGGCAGCTGCTGTTAACAAACGGGGAACCGTAGCTCGAGGTAGCGCAGTGCATGCTCTATGACAACTCTTTATGTCATTACGTTACATCGCGAAAATGTCTCCGATATCATGCATCTTCACAGACAACCAGTACATTTACAATTTAAAGCATATAACGGTTAACCGGAGCTCATGCAAGCAACTGTCCAGCTTACCTCTGTGTGTGGAGGATATTTGGCTCTGCCAAAAAAATAAACAGTCACAGCTAGATCATAGGAAGCTCCGCCTATTTTTCGCTCTTCATCTCATTAGAGACGATTTGTTATGGAAAAATCATTAGCGATACACTCTAACAACACTATTCAATTTATTTTCACTTAAGTTTGTAACTATTTAGGCTACATTGCAACTCTAAGTGGTGGAGGTAATAAAAAAACTGATGTTATTCCAAATTGCTTTTTTGTCGTGTAGACCTCAGGGAGGATTAAGTTTAAAATACGATTTTTTAGGCGAATTTTCTTTAACGAACGGCCTTGCAGTTGCCGCAGCGCTTACTGTGTTTGTGATATAATATTAAGTGTTTATGTTTTGTCAAATGTGAATAAAAGTGCCAGCTGAAATAGCTCCTTCTATGAACAATTTAAGTTCGTGAGGGTTTACCATCAAAGTCTGGCTATTTTGTTTAACGCCATAAGCTGTGAAAGTAGCCTCAAATGGCTACAATGGCTATCTATGTAAAAGCGAATAGGCCTGTGGAAGTTTCATTATCAACGTTATCCACCAGAGGTCACACAAACATAAATAGTCATCAAGTCATCAATAGGGTATATCAATTGTCTAATAATGCATCATGGTCTTCTTGGATATGGAAATGATGCAACGACAAAATTGTGTTCTTATAGCCTACTTTTCTGTTTTTCTACATTTTTAAAGAACTGAAATAGCTACACAAAATCATTCCTTGGCTTTTAAAATGTTTGATAGCTTATTATTTCCAAAGGATTCCTATTCCTGTATTACTGATGGATGGATGCACCAGAAGTCTACTAATGCTGGCCTCTCCTTGCTGTGAGATCCGGCGATGCTGCTGGACTCCCGGCTTTCAGCAGATTCTTGACCGTCTCCACGACGACCACAACCTGACGCAAATACGCCCCTCCTCCATTCAAGCCTCTCGTCTCATTCAAGACACAAGTGTGGAGTAAAAGCAGTGTTGTTGAGCTCTCCAGTAGAGCGGGACAAGACTGCCTACAAGTACCTGATAAACTACTAGGGTATGAAGGTAAGACTCATCTTTTCTTTAATAGCATACTATCCGTATGAAGGTTCTAAAACCCATATGAACTGAGTATTTTTTCGATTTTGTATTTATTTCTTTTTTTCTTTTTAAATCTTCATTAAGAGTCACTACTGAGCGTGGTGCTCTGGAATTTTTTTTTTTTTTTTTAAATGACTTTCTCTATCAGATTTGTATACAGGGTATACACTTGGGATAATCTTAAATTAACTCTTTACATTTTAATCAGCTGCATTCACTGACCATGGTGAGCTGCAGTACATTTTAAAATAGTATAGCCAAATGACATTATAATACCAATTTAATGTTCCTGATCTGTCTACACATAGGTTATTCAACACGCCAACAAGTTTTAATTTAGTTTGCATCAGTTAGGCTGAGTTAATCATTGCAATGTACCATGTTTAATAAATAAACTATTTCGTAATAATCAAAGAAATGCTGTTATGTCATGAGATGTAAAAGACAACTGAACATCTAAAACAGAAAATTATTAGTCATTTAGGAAAATACATTATTTATGATATTCATGAAGCGCAACTCTGGCTGGAACAGTCCGTTTTTACTCACAGTCATTTTATGCTGACAAAAACAGATTTGCACTGCAGTGATATTACAGTTAAATTCACCACATCTAATTAGACATGGATAAATTCAGTCATGATGACTTATTCTAAACTGTCTGGTTGGCCTGAGAACATTTAATATGTCTGGAAAAAAGGAGAATTTTCCACTTGAGATCTACATTCTAAACATACAACTTTAGAGTGTGTGGAAAGATACAGCACTCAAAACCATTATGACTCATGAAAAGAGAATCTTTTTTTAAAGAAAAAATATATTCTACTTTATTCTATTCTATTTAGTGGTTTCAAATCGATTAATCACATATATTAACAAACTTTTATTAGATGTGATTAATCACGAGTCACGACTAATCAATTTGACAGCACTAATGTTATTATATATTATATTATATTGTTAACTTTCAATTGATATAACTTTCAGAGCTCATTTAGTCTGTTACACTACAGCCATTTACATATTCATGCTTATGTAAACAGAATATGAATATTCATCAGAACCTAGACATGTTGTCATTTGTTTCTCACATTAGATACAATATTTTTATTCTCGTTGTAGAGACTGCACTTTTTTCACTATGAATTAACTCATATTTTAAAGTCACTAAGGCTTTAAAGAAGCAAATTTTTTCAGTCTAAAGTGAGAGTGGTCTGGGATGAATGGATCCCCCTGTGAGATGAGTGACGCCACTGCTGCCACACACAGAGCAAAGCGCTAAATGAGCGAGTTTGATTAGTCCTCGAGCCGTGTGGAGGTTAAAGTGGGGCCAATTAAGAACCAACATACTTTAACATCCTCTCATCCTTTGGGAAAGACACATTCCTAGAGCAGCTGTGATGATGGAATACATCAAGGCAATATGCCAAACTCTATATCACATCAAGGCAATATGCCAAACACTCTATCACACGTACATTAGACAGACAGCTTTATGGAAAAGCGTTAAAAATATGGGTGGTCCTGAGATCAATTACATTAGAAGCACAATCATATTTATTGCCAGTTACTACATATGATTATGTCTGTCCCAGCAGAGAGACTTTAATTGAGCAGCATTATATGTTTTGCTCATTGTCACATTCAGGTCTGGCTGGTAGTGACATTTAGTTCTTTAGAGCAGACAGTCTTCAGTGCTGCTGACTCATAGGCTGGGCTTAGTTGCTATGGAAACCACCAGCTTTGTAAGATTGAGCATGTGATATGAGGAATGGATGGAAAGTGTCCATGTGATAAAAAAAAACTGCCCGTTTAACCCATGATTTACTCTAGAAGATCTGGATTAGGAGGTAGAATAGATCGAAAAGCTATGCATTTTCCCCATAGACTTTTGGAAAATCGCAAAAAATAAGATCTGTGTTCAACAAAGAGTTGTAACCCTTACATGTTTTTTCTATCAAGATAATCCAAAATGTATACATTTTGAAGCCTATATATAAAGCAGACATTAAAAAAAAACACAAGCAGGTTATAACTGGTGTGTTTTATGCCATAGATCAAAACGTGAAAATATTTAGAGGTTTTGTTAACCACTGACCTTATTTCAGGCCATTTAGCAAAAAACCCATAGACTTTAGGGCGAGGGAACCGGAAGTACTCACTTCCGCGTTTTGGCCTACAAAGTGACGTCATAACTTCGGCACTCTATAATTTCTGATTTGACAGAATTAAAACCAAATAATCTAATCAAATTTTCTCTTTCCGTTCTTTTACTTTCACTCCAAAAAATCATTATTTAATATTAGGTATTTGCATCTATTTGATTTCATTTAAATAATCATATATTCAATGTGTATTCATTTAAATTACTTATAATCATATAAAATGAATTTAAGGGATAGTTCACCAAAAAACAAAAATGCTGTCATCATTTACTAACCCTCAGCTTGTTCCAAACCTGTATGAGTTTCTTTCTTTTGCTGAACACAAAAGATATTTTGAAGAATGTTAGTAATCAAACCGTTGACAGTATAGGCATTGAATTCCATAGTTTAGTTTTTTTCTACAATGGAAGTCAATGGCTATACCAGCGTCCATGGTTTGATTTTAAAACACATTTAGTGTATTGGTACTATTAAATAAATCTCATTCTAAGATGCATTGATAACACTTGCACTTTAGACATTATGCTAACTTTAAGTAACTTTGCAACTACAATGTCAACTAGCAGTCATTATCAATGTTAAATTGAAAGGGATTGTGAATTTATAAATGTAATTGATACACATAAATAATTAATATTAGGCCTAAACATTTAAATAAAAAGGTAACCAAGTTTTTTTTTTCGATTGAAGGAAAGGATCAAGAAGATGTTTGGATGACTACACTACTGGGATGATACTGCTGAAGATATGGAAGGTCAATATCTCCATTGCTGATTTATTTTATAGCCCTGCAGACGAACCATCCTGGTAACTGCAAGCAAATCCAAAGGTCTGTGTTTTTATTGATCAAACAAGGCGATGAGATCATCTGACACTTAAATTGATTTCCACTGTTTATTTTTGGCAACACTAACCATTTCCTCAAAGGCCATGGATGCGAGCTCAACACCTCAGATAAATATAGAGGACTATGATGGCCTTGAGGTCGAGGTTGTGCCAGATGATCACTTGAGAAACTTGAAAGCACTGACTGAGAAGCTGAGACTTGAAACCAGAAGGCCGTCCTATCTTGAGTGGAAGGAACGAGTGGAAGCTCAGAGCTCCAAAAGCTCAGCCGTGCCAGAGAGCTCATCAGACCTGGAAAAGGTGCTGGACTGAAGCCCAGTGCAACACCTCAGAGGAACATAGAGAATTCCCAAGCGACTGCAGGAAACGGCCTGATTTCGAAAAGCCTTAGAGGGTTCGATAATATTGACGAAGCCCTGGTTTGGCTTAGAAAAGAACTGGTAAGTCAAAATGTTTGTTTGTATGCTAATTAAAGGAGTAGTTCACTGTTAAAAAAACTTTTTCTTATAATTTACTCACCCCCATGTTATCCAAGATGTCTATGTCTCTATGTCTATGTCTTTCTTTCTTCAGTCGAAAAGAAATCAAGGTTTTTGATGAAAACATTCCAGGATTTTCTCCATATTATGGACTTCAATGGGAACCAAACGGTTCAAGGTCCAAATGGGAGTTTCAGTGCAGCTTCAAATTGCTTTAAACGACGGCATACGATGAAAAAGGGTCTTATCTAGCGAAACGATCTGCCATTTAGAAAATAAAAAAAAGTTTTATAAGCTCAAATGTTCGCCTTGCTCTGTTCTGTGATGAGCGTTCGTGACTCTCCTGTTCAAACTATTTCATCAAAATGAACAAATCTTTTTTCGAGCCATGACTCGAAGGGTCCTAGATAAGACCCCATTCATCGTCTGGTGTCGTTTAAAACCCTTTGAAGCTGCACTGAAACTCTCATTTGGACCTTGAATCGTTTTGGTTCCCATTGAAGTCCATTACATGGAGAAAATCCTGAAATATTTTCATCAAAAACCTTAATTTCTGTTCAACTGAAGAAAGAAAGACGAGGACATCTTGGATGGCATGCGGGTGAGTAAATTATCAGCAAAAGTTGCGTTTAAAGTTAACTACTCCTTTAGGACTTGATGTCTGACTTTTGTGGCAGTCAGAACTATGCGTCTTGCAGAAGAACATTGTAGCCGGAGCTACTTCTCTCTATTCTATGATGAGTCACGCAGGTACTGCACTACTCTGCACAGGTTGGTGTCCCGCTCTGTCTAAAATAGTATGAAAATAAACACTTATTACAGGCCGTAATTATTCAGGATAAGACAACAGCAAGGTTTGGAAGATGGATTTATGATGCACTCGCTTATTATCTTTTGTCAATTTCGAGCAAAGAAAAGTTACATAGTGTACCTTTAAGAGGCATTATTTCTGAATTAAAATTACATCGAATTAATATTAATAGTTTTTCAACAGCATAAAGTCAAAAACATTAAAGGGACAAAACTTGATATTGAAATTGATTCAATTCTTGAAAGAAAATCTTAATTAAATCGGTATACTATAGGCCTGGATTTACAGACAGGGCTTAGATTAAGCCAGGATTAGGCCTTAGCTCAATTAGGACATTTAAGTAGCTTTTATAAACATGCCTTAGATAAAACCATTACTGGTGTGAATCTTGAGACGAAACAGTGGCACTGACATATTTTAAGATCGTTAGTGCAAATTGCAGTTAAAACGGCTCAAATATGCATCTATTATTATTTATATAGTCACCTTGATTCATATTACGTTTTATACAAACAACTTTACAAGAATAAACGGGCAAATAATGATTCATTGATGCAAACAAAGTTCAATTCTGCTGTAAAGCAGATCTATAAAGAAAATAGTGTCATTGTTCAGGTGATGTCAGTTCTGTTCAATAACATTGTGAAGATCATAAAACATGAACCTGGCGAAGGGGTGAACGGTTGCTGACTGGTTTCATATATTTGTTTTAATTACTACAGCTAACTTCGCCTTGTCTTTAAAGTAGTGCATTACATAAAATAATTTGAAGCATGTTGTTTGTTTTATACACAGCAAAATTACACGAAATTCCAGAGTCGTCAAGCTGACTATCTAGATGAGCGCGGTGAATGTTTATGGTTGTCGATGAAAAGGACGCTAAATATCATTTTGGCTTTAATAAGATTTTCCAAATAAATAGGCAACTTTAAACATGGTGTCCTCCGTTATTCCTGTTCTTTCGACAACAAAGCACTTGAATGTGATGAGCTCATAATTCCGAAAATATGTGAAGGCAGCAAAAGTCCATAAGAGGAGTGGACTCATTTCTACGGAGACTCAATAGTCGGGGAACCAACATGCAAAAACAAACAAATAAAACTATAGGATTTATACTGGACCCCGGGAAAATCCTCATGGCTGTATGTCAAGGTCAAGTCTCATAAAAGTCTCATGAAACTCATTAATTCAGTTTCAGGTAAAATGTCAAGAGATGCTACTCTCCAATATGATATTTAGGAATTAATAATTCATGATATTTTACCTGGAAAATATATTTAAAAAATGTGAATTAATGATTGTGGACAGCAGTGCCTTCAAGGTGTATGGAAAATATATTTTGGTTTTTTTTTTCTTGAAAATGGTAAGAAATAAAAGTAGATTTTTTTTAAAACATTTATCTTCATCCTATAAACTCTTATTTGTCCTTATCAGGTTCTCACAAATAAATCTGATTTTTCGAAATAATTGCTGCTTCTTTGCAATCCTCTTTTTGTAAGGGAAGAAAACAAAAATCATCCCCATTAGTTAGCTAATTTGAATGAAACAATGGAGTGAATGCGCGGGCCTCCATTACCTCATCACTGCGTGAGATTGCCATTCATGTTAAAGTGAGTGGAAAGGATGGTGAGCAGATGAGCATGAGAGGCGATCGGTTTGTTTCCTCGCTCTCTGTTCCTGTAAGTGTAATCACTTCTCTTCCACTGAGCCATGTGGTTCATGGCATGCTTGTATGTGCAGTCTTCAGTCTATTATAGCTACTGCACGCAATGAGGCTCCTTTCACCACATCCGAAGCCTTTCTTCTACTGACTTTGCCCCGTGTGTGTCCATAAACATTTGGGCAAAGGAAATTGGACACAAAAACAAATAAACAGAGCCAGTCACAAGAGGACTTTTGATGATCCATCCCAATTTTGAGCCCCTTGTTATGTGAAATGGACAAAAGCATGTTTGCTAACAAAGATGGATCTACTTGCTCATGTTTATTTAAATGGTTAGAAGCGATTAAGCAATTAAGAAGCAGTGGGTTCATGCCAGGCATTTTGCCATGAGTCTGAAAGCTCTTAACACTACCATTTAAAAGTCAGGAAGATTTTCATTCATGAACTTTCTATTAATTAAAAAAAGGAATCCTGTAAAAAACAATATCAAGGTTTCCACTAAAATATTACGGAGCATCAAAAAAATCAGCTGTTGGCCTATCAGTGGTATATTCTTCTTTTCATTTATATTTGCTGGCTATCAAAAGAGCACTGAGGCGCTGTTTACAACACACCGTTTTCGATTAAAAACTGAAAACTTTTTATGCGATTTGGCTGTTCAGTTACACGACAACGGCATTTGGGGGACCTGAAAACACAAACTTTTGAAAAAGTGCAAATTTTTAAAAAAATATTCCGTTATCGTCTCCTTGTAAACCTGTAAAGTTCAGTCTATAGACCTTATGTAGCCCCGCCCCTTTTCAGGGCTGTGCTCGTTGTCTTTTGACTTCCGGTCTGTATTTCCACAGAAATCTTGCATAGGTATGAATGAACTGCTCGTAAAAACTTTCCTGGTCGAAATTTGTTAAGACATCTGCCTTACAATGCTTATGATAAACATTACAATGCTCATGATAACTTTTGTTAACTCTATAATAAGTAAATCCACTTCACCAGCTAATTACTCCTCAACAGTGATGCCATAGAAATATACAGAGCGACCGCAAAAACGTAAGTTCAAAGACAATATTCTAAAGATGATGGCGCCCACGTTTCGCTGGTGCATAAGGTCTATAGGCGTGGGATTTTTCCTTTATTTATAAAGTCACATCGCCAACTACTGGACTTGCATGAATAATACAGCGTATTTTAATCGTTTTCATGGATCCGTGTAAACAGGTATCATTTTACCAACGTTGTCTGAAAAAAAAAAAAACTTTTCTGTTTTTGGTACATTTTTGTCTCCACTATGACAGTGACATCCAACAACCACATTAAAAAATGCAGCTAATATGGCAAAAAATAACTTTAAGGTGCAACAGACACAACTTTGCCAAAGCAATAGCAAACCAATGAACAGTAACATTAAAGTCACCATGAAACAGAAGTTAATTGCGATAGTCTTCTCTTCCATATTGTGAACTATATCCAAGTTAAACAGCTTCACAAACAAGAGAAAAATGTAGGGCGGGACTTGATTTTGACAGGTTGTCCCTCCCTCACGCTAATAAACACATCAGAGAAGAGACAAGATGTCCTTGCAAGAGGGAGGTGAAGTTGTTTTGATTAAATAGATAATTTATAAAAGAAAATACTTAAATATTCCATAAAAAATAAGAATTGTCAATTTTGATTTCATGGTGACTTTAATTGTTCAATTATTATTGTGCATCTAAACCTTAGTCTGTGTAAAATAAGCCAATATTGTTTCATTTCACCTTCACTAAGGTGTATGCTATGAAATTTAAGTAGGCGTAGAATCAGATAGTTCTTATAATAAGCCTTAATGAGTTTCTCCTAAATTGCATTTACTCATAGATGGAGATGCGCATCCAGGACCAGCAATTGGCACGCCAGCTCATGCGACTACGCGGTGACATCAATAAACTCAAAGTGGAGCAGACATGTCACCTGCACCGTCGAATGCTCAATGACGCCACCTTTGGCCTGGAGGAGCGTGACGAGCTGTCGGATCTTTTGTGTGATGGACCCGTCACTCCCGGATTTGGCCTCTCTTCACCGCTGCGCCTCATTGGTGTCACAAAGATGAACATCAACTCCAGACGCTTCTCTCTTTGCTAGAAATGTTCTGAGTGACCATACAGCAATAAAGAGAACAAGTGACTCAAAGAAAGTGAAATGAATAATCTTCGACAACTGTTTTGAAACCCATGAGAACTGCTGTCACAGAACACCCTGTGCCTCTTGGTCTATGTACTTGTGCCAGTAAAATCATTTGAATTAATCGAATGAACAGTGGACAATGACTTCTAAAAAAGGTCTGACCTGTTAGCCATGGCTCTATGCCTTACATACAATTCTTGTTGTGGTTATGTGATATCAACAACTGTTTCTTACCACACACATGCTCTGTTCCAAATCTTATGTGCACCCTTTAACATGAAAGGCTGTTACAAAACAGGAGACACTATTCATCTAGTGCCTCTAAGATACCTTGCTGTAGCCAAATTCTAAGGCAGTATTCATGGTGAAAGCAACTCCATAATTCAATGCGATAATCTTAGTAAAGCAATACATACAAGATTGTGGATGGGGCATTGATTATGAATAAACTATGAATCAACAGTGAAAAGTATTGATGAATGTAATTTAAATGTGGTATTTAACCCTCTACTGCACACATTTAGATGGTACATGATAAAATTGAGTCCACATCATTTCCTGGTTCATTTGGGAACATTTTATTGATAGAACAGACTCATTGACATAAGGAATAATTGATGACGGGCCATTGAATTAATAATTCATCAGCGGCCCAGAGTCAATAATCCCAAGCCCATCCATCCATCCATCTTCTTCCGCTTATCCGGGGCCGGGTTGCGGGGGCAGCAGTCTAAGCAGAGATGCCCAGACTTCCCTCTCCCTAGACACTTCCTCCAGCGCTTCTGGGGGGACACCAAGGCGTTCCCAGGCCAGCCGGGAGACATAGTCTCTCCAGCGTGTCCTAGGTCTTCCCCGGGGTCTCCTCCCAGTGGGACATGCCCGGAACACCTCCCTGGGAAGGCGTCCAGGAGGCATCCGGAACAGATGCCCGAGCCACTTCAGCTGACCCCTCTCAATGTGGAGGAGCAGCGGCTCTACTCTGAGCTCCTCCCGAGTGATCGAGCTTTTCACCCTATCTCTAAGGGATCGCCCAGCCACCCTGCGGAGACCACAAAGCTCATGACCATAGGTAAGAGTAGGAACGTAGATTGACCGGTAAATCGAGAGCTTTGCCTTATAGCTCAGCTCCTTCTTTACCACAACAGACATCGACCGCATTACTGCAGAAGCTGCATCGATCCATCAGTCAATCTCCCATTCCATCCTTCCTTCACTCGTGAACAAAACCCCAAGATACTTAAACTCCTCCACTTGAGGAAGGATCTTTCCACCAACCTGAAGTGTGCAAGCCACCCTTTTCCGACTGAGGACCATGGCCTCGGATTTGGAGGTGCTGATTTTCATCCCAGCAGCTTCATACTCGGCTGCAAACCATCCCAGTGCATGCTGAAGGTCCTGGTCTGAAGGGGCCAACACGACAACATCATACGCAAAGAGCAGAGACGAAATCGTGTGGTCCCCAAACCTGACACCCTCCAGCCCATGGCTGCGCCTAGAAATTCTGTCCATAAAAATTATGAACAGAACCACCGGGTTCAGGGATTGCCGCCTCGACAGGCACCGGAGACCTTACGGCCACAGCTCCAAGCAGCCACTTGGACAATGGAGGTGGAGAACATGGTCCACTCAGACTCAATATCTCCAACCTCGCTCGGGATCCGGTCGTGGCTCCGCCAGAGGTGGGAGTTGAAAATCTCTCTGACAGGAGACTTGGCCAAACGTTCCCAGCAAACCCTTACAGTAAGCCTGGGTCTGCCGAGACTGTCCAGCTTCCTCCCCCGCCATCGGATCCAACTCACCACCAGGTGGTGATCAGTTGACAGCTCCACCCCTCTCTTCACCCGAGTGTCCAAGACATACAAGATAGGTCAGATGAAACGACCACAAAGTCGATCATCGACGTACGACCTAATCCAAAGCCTCCGTTAATAATTCCAAAACGTAATTTTAGACCTATTGGTTTGAGGCACAGATTGGTTTGAGTCTGTGTGTCTCCCAACAGTGTTCGGCAGCAACGTCTAGTGAAACCGTAAGTTTATTTGCTCCAAGAACAGCGTTGTTATTACTTCGCTGGTGAGAAATTTTATGCAGCTTTTAAGTTGTTCAACTATTTAACTGATCAAATCTTCAGATCAGCACTGACAACACGTTTCTGTGTGTCCGTACTGTATGTGTGCATTTGAGTGGGGAGAGTATGTGGCAAAAAAACTTGGAAATAATTTGTTGTTTTTATCCTATTGTTTACTATATTTATGTGCTTGGTCAGTGTCATTGTGTGTTTGGGTTTTGTAGTCTGTAAAGACCTTTCAAATAATTGAAATCATTAGGTGAAGTTATACAGAATTGTAATTGTAATTATAATGCGGTCAAGACCTGCCTGGAACTACTGTACTTTAGCCGTGCGTTTCCCTGAAAATAATCGCACACCTTAGTTTAAAAGTTTGTAAACCAATCTCAATGAAGCATTCAACAGCCCCATAGTATATTTTAATTCAGGAACCCGACTGTTGCACTTATAATTAAACGAGTCTCCCATGTGGAAAGCACACAGACTTACTGCGGCTGCCTATGTAGAGCACTCCAAATCGTTCACTTAAATGAGGTTTCATGATGATTACGATCTAGGCCGTAGTGAGGCAGATCACGTTTTGGAACAGAGCTACAGCCTTAATTCAGTTTTACTTATACATATATATTACAAAAATGCTTCAAGCATTTACATTAATCTGCATATCTGCTCTCTATAAGATTTTTCTACACATACTTATATGGCACTTATACAGTATTTTATATGGCAAAATGCACCCATATCTTATAAACATGGCTTGGTTGTGGTTAGATACAATAAAGCTTAACTGGTATACTATTATGCTTGGAATGCACAGTAAAGATATTACTTGCTATGTACAGTGTGATACTATCCCAGTCAATAGAGCATCTGTGGGGAAGCATGCAAGTTTTTTTTCATAGAAAATTTCTAATAGTTCATCCATAATACAGTAATAAATGTTTTACAGTACATTGTTGCTGAGTTAGAATATCAGCATGAAAGGAAGCAAGGAGGGTCACCACTGCATCGCTTTGAGTACATTGAGCTGATGACAATCTCCAAGTACGGTATGGCAATTAAGTGGTTCCATTTTGCCCAATTTGGGAAGAGTGTCTCAGTTGATCTCCATCATTTAAATGGCATGTTTTTGTAAAAACAAAAACTCCAGCAAATGTTCAAAGGCAATGATAATAAGTGCCATTACAAGGCTAGTTTATCATATTCATGGAGGTTTAGATGTTTCCTGTTTGTTTGAACACTGTGATAGTTTGGTTCAATTGGGTTTCTTGTTAATCTTAAACATCTACAGTGTTTTTTTATTGAATGTGAATACTGTGTTGGACTCAGCGGGAATAATAGGTCTACCTCAGAGAAAATGTCTTGGCTTTCTTATTCACATTTCTTCAAAAGATGGAGTGAAACCTGCTCTGAACAAAAGCTGAAAGGGTGTGTTTCAAGCCAACGTCCTCTTTCAGGGAGGTAGTGTTTCACATCCCTTCTCAATGACTGGCTTTTGTGTACGGCCAAACAAGCCTTGATTAATGATAAACTCTCGAAGCATTCTGGATAGTTGAAATTCAGCCCCACGTACAGTACAGTAAAATACAGTACATTCTTCTAATTTGTTTCAAAAATAGAAGTTGTAATAAAACTATTAAGGTTATAAGGTTAACAAAAGTTAATATCTAAAGACCTCAAAGTTGATTAATTGAGTGCCTGAGATTCAAAATCAAATAGCACAGAGAGTTTTCACTGTTTGTACTGGAAAATCGCATATTTTGTGTAAACCCTCAGTAAACCCCCAAAAAATCCATTCATTTTCTCCACAGGGGAATTTATTGAGAATGATAACCTATAAACCTTTAAAAACAGACTTACTGCTACGAGGTTGTTAATCAATGGTAAACGCATTTTTAAAAGCCATCAACTCGCACCGTTTCAACTTACGTTTTAATTAATCGTATTTAAAAGCAAACTCCTGGTGAAAAACTACATTACCCATAATTCTGCATAAACAATTTCCACCAATCTGAGAATCAAACGATCTTTAGCGTTAGACGTTTTTAATTCAATAATGTCATTCACAATGCTTCATGGGGTTGTAGTTATATCCATTAATGCCGTTAAAGGGATAGTTCACTTTGAAATTAATTTTTGATATGTTTTAGCTTACCTCAAGGGCATCCAAGATGTAGGTGTCTTTTTTTTCCACAGCATTTTTCATTTTGACATTTTTCGGTCAAACCGGTGTTGTCTGTCAGTCATTTAATGCCGTTTTAGGGGGTCCACCTCAAAGAGCATGCACAGAGATGCCAAAATTAAACATGATTTAATGACTCATTAATTAATGAAAATTTTAAATACTGTGGAAACAAAGACACCTACATCTTGGATGCCCTTGAGGTAAGCTAAAACATATCAAAAATGAATTTCAAAGTGAACTATCCCCTTTAAGTACAGTCTTGTGCCTTTGTGTTTTCATCTGATTTTCAGTTTGTATCAAATTTGTTTCAACTTCCAGCTGTTTGTTTTGCTTCATGGTGTATAAATCCTTTTCAAAAAAATCCTTCCAGAAACAAGGCCGCTGAAAAAGTAGGCGGACACAGTTGCACTCTGTTCTGCCTTCATAAAATAACAAGACAGCTGCCGTTTAGAGCTATTCTCTTCCACCATTCGCCAAACAATGTAATGATCGAGTCTCTCTGTTGCATTGTCTCCAATGCAGCGATCTTGCTGTAATGACATCTAACATGACATATGCTCCCAGCTCCTTGTTATCTCCGGATCAGGATTCTGACCTTTGACACCCTTTTGTGTGCCCCTACCGCAACTCATTTAGGCTACAGTGAGTGGTCTTACGGATGCCTGCACCCCGGAATTAAGGGTATGTGCTGTGTGAGCAAAGTTATGTTAAAAAAACAGAACCATGTTCATATTCAAGAGGCATATTATAAATAAAGCTAACGTTTTCTGCTCGAATAAACTTTTGGTACAGTCGTTTTAAGGACCACCCATAAGAGATGGGAGGAACAATAATATGATTTTATGACCGGGTGCCAAAGCTTGATCTGGAGCCATGTGATAATGCCATTCGGTGTCTTTAAGGACACAGTTCTTGCTTTTATGGCAAGGACTCCAACACAAAAATAATTAAAAAGGCGTATTTATAGCACAGGTTTAGCCCATTCGAATTTAACCCACTAGGTAACCTCAAAATAGTCATTCCAGGGCAATGCCCTCGTTTCAGAGTTAAATGTCCACTAATGAGAGAGCATACACTGTTGCACTTTTAATCCTCCTTATCGTTGCGTGATAACTACACACTTGGATAAATCGAGCAGGCTTATGCTTAGTTAAGGATTCTTCTTAAATGTCTATTTCTGTCAAGGTTTTCATTGGTCATTAGTTTGAAATGTGAGTGTACGTTTTTTAAACTATCCATCTATACAATAGATATTTGTAACTCTGAGCAAATTATTAATTTAGCAGAAGGCTAATGTGGGGCACTCTGGACTTCTTTTGTCGGTTCAGTGCCCCCTGCTGGTAACAATGTTACACAGACACCAGCATTCAAAACTCTATTTCCTACTTGACATTAAACATAAAAAAGGAGCTATTCAAGAGCAACACTTCATATTAACAAGTCATTGATTTAAGATTTAAAATCTGTGAAGTTGCTCACCAATAGTTAAAAGAAGC